TTACTTACAAGTTGTACTTATTAAGTTAATCTGCACATTTTATAATACATTATTTTGGAAGTTTTATATATGAATGAATAATATAAACATTTTATTTTATTCGTCTAATTTTGTGCATTCATTTCTAGCTCGTTGTTCCCTGTCCAACTTCAACTGTTCGGTAATGGAATTTAATGCGAGTCCTTATCGTGTTGTTGTGCTGTCAACTTGCTTAAAAGTATTGTCAACATTTTAAATTGTATACATAAAAGGTTCCAGATGCTTTCGTCAAGTTCTCTATCTTGTTCAAAACCCTGAACCCATTCAAAATGGGTCAAAGAGGTATACTGGTCCTATGGAAATGTAATTAACAGGTTGTAAAGAGCATCTCCCACTAAGTATATATATATATATATGTATATATAGATCTCGCAGATCATATTTATTTCATCCTATCGATAACTGTCTCAATATCGCAATTATCGATACATATCGTGTTTCGATAGCCGCAAAAACCACAATTTCAAAGGCTGATCAATTGCCAAATTCCATAAAGATCGTCTGAGAAACTCATATTGCGCATTTGAGTTAGACTAGAATACTTTGAACAACTGGATACAGGGTATATCGTGGTCGAGCTCACTCGGCCGCATGATTCTTACTTGCTTAGACTTTTTTTTGCTGGCAAGTTAACAAATGATATTTTGCATGCAAGTCACCAGCGCTTTCTCCTTCTTGCTGTCTTCTTCTGTCTCTCTCTCTCGCTCTCTCTCTCTCTCGCTCTCTCTGTATCTTTTTCTTGAACTGACACTTAAACTGTGCAACTGATAACCAAAAGCTAGCCATGTTGTCGCTTCACGTTGCACTATACTACTGAGACTCTCAGTGCTGCCTCCGCCCAACCCCAGCCTTTTCCCATCAAACTGATGACCATGAAGTAACAGTGAGTGTGAGAGAGACAGCGGGAGAGGGAGAGAGAAAGAGAGAAGGCGAGAGACAGAGTGAAATGCGCTGTTGGTCATAAATCAAGCGCAGCTGCGCTGCCCACGCTGTCCTTCAGAAGTCCTTCCTCCATTTGTCCACACACATGTATATAAAAATGGCGTTAGGCGTAACTTGAACTTGCAACATTTTGTTGCAATATGCATACGTACGTGTGTCTGTTTTTTTAAGACAGCTGCAAAGCTCCAACTTAAAACAGTTGAAAATGAAGCTGACCACACAGCAAATTGCCAGTGCCACACAAACTGTACAGTTTTGAGGCCAGTTCTGCTGCTGATGGCAGGCACAAAGCTAACAGGACACTGACAAATGAATGGCAGAATATAAAAGGGGGTATGCTCGACTAACAGTTCCCCCAATAGATGAATGATTACTCTCAGCTATTATCTATAATCGTTTATCATAAATGCAAATGCAATTGAATTCTGTTTGAGAATTATTTTATTATTTATGTTGTACACTGACAGAAAGAAGGCATTGACAAATTGAATGTCACTCCTAAAATATTCACATATTCAGAAAGTTATTCGCCCAACCTGTGGAATTTAATTTCCTCGCAAACATTCATTCTCAAAAAGTCTGCAACTTTTCAACTTTGTTTTTGTGGCTTATCAAGACTTTGAATTGTTTTATGCCACAAGAGCGACATACCACCAATGTAGCCAACGAGTGCATTAAATAGAATTGCAATGCTCGCACATACACAAACACACACAGCCAACACACACATGCCCAGGCAAACACATTTTATTATGCAAATTTTCATGTAGGTGATATTTGCCTGGCAGTCGTCGCCAAAGAAGCTGCTTCCTTATGTCACACACTAACATCACCCACACCCAACCACGCCCCCATTCTCTCTATATATCTCTTTTATGTTTTGTGTCCCTGCTCTCTCCAAAAATTGCAAGTTGGAATTTATTTTAATTTTTAGCCCAAGCGCGCGAAGCTTTTATTTACATTGCTTTAATTTGTATTTGTTTTGCACATTAAAATTACAGCTGCTTCAAGTGCAGACGGACTACGGAACGGATAGAGGGTGTATGTGTGTATGTGTGTGTGTGTGTGTGTGTGTGTGTGTGTGTGCGTGTCAGAAGTTGGGGTGCTTTCTGCAAATGCATTTCGTCCCTATGCAAATGCTTGCAACGCCCAACGTTGACGCTCACAATGAAAATGGTGGCAAAATGTGAAGGGATGGAGTGGTGCAGGTGTGCAGGGGTTGCTGCCGGAAGAGAATACGTAAGTGTGTGTGTGTGTGTGTGTGTGTGTGCGAGGCAACAAGGTAAGCTTTTGCTTGCCAACAAAACTCACAGCCAAAAAGATGCAGTCAGAGACAAATAGCACACAAAAGGAATAAAAATGGAATCGAGCAGAATGTGGAGAGTTGATTTGGGGAAAGAGATTTTTTGTGTGTGTTTTTTGTTTTAGGGGGGAGTGGAGCTAAGTGACAAGGTTGTGCTAAGTGTTTGGTGGGAATAGCTTCTGGTTGCTACTCGCTACTCGCTGCTCGCTACTCGACTGCCGACTAACAAGTACTTGCAACAGTGAAATTTGCATAAGCAATTACGAGAGAAGCACAGAGAGCGAAAGGGGTGTAAGATGAGCGGGAGGGGGAGGGGGAGGGGAAGTGGGAAGTGGGAGGAGTAGGAAATAAGGTAAGGTAAGACAGAGTCAACAATGTCGCCAGAGTTGAGTCTAGTCTGCTGTGCTCCGGGCTGGTCTGGTTTAGTCTGGTCTGGTCGGGTCCGATTTGGTCTGTTGACGATTGCAGCTGCCAAATGGGGTTGAGGTTGAGGTCGGTTTTAGAGGCAGTCGCTGGATAAGTGCGTTGCACGAATTTGCAATGCATCAACAACAGCAACAACAATAACAATAACAACAACAACAACAACAACAACAACAACAATAACAATAACAACAACAGCAATTTCGAGTGCAACAGCATCGTGAAGAGCCGCTCAACGACTCTGTTGCACCTGAGCTCAAAACGATATGCATGCAACACAGCAACAAAGAAGAAGAAGAACAAGAAGAAAAAGGAGAAGAGGTTGCTCAAGTTGCACATGTCAAGCTCAGATAAGTTATGTGCATGCTAAGAATGCAATTCCAGGCAAATATGTATTTGTATTCACCTTCATACCTTCAACAAATACAGCAACTGGCTGACTGAGATGACTGATCTTAAATCAAAACTTAAAGCTTGGCTAATCAATTATTGAGCTGTGTCCACAAACCGAACTTAAGATCAAAGAAAAACTTATTTCATAATGCTGTTAAGCTGAAAATAATTATGCAAATCGTTTCAAATAAAATATGCTTTTGGCCACTTCATAAAGGCAGCTTTGCATTATGACACAAAATATATATAAAAAAATAGAACTTAAAGAGCACATTTTACAGATTACATTTCCAATGAAATCAGCGTAAATTGAGTCCATACAAAAGAAGTAATAAGTTGAACAATAGCAGTGTAATTACAAATAATAATGGAAGAAATACATCAGCAGGTCTAAATATGCACATAGGTTATTAGAATGAAACAGCAATAGAAGGAAATTATATATATATATATATATATATATATAATGGCCTAGCATTACGTAATGTTGAAAGTAGCAGAAGAAGAGAGTGACAGAGAGAGACAGAGAGAGGGAGAGGGAGCGATGTTAATTTCGAGCGTTGTACATGCGATTTGCCGCACAATCGTTAAGTTGATATCTTGATTGTCAAATCTTAACTGCCATCCGTTTCGATTTCTAATGGTTCTCATTTAATTGTGCTTGTTGTTGTTGTTGCTGTTGTTGCTGTGGCTGTAAATGCTGGTCTGTCGCTCATTTAAGAGTCAACAGCAAGATAAAAACCGCAAAAGCCAGCTAAATAAATGCTGGCTAGCAACTTGGACAGTGGTGTGTGGTGTGTGTTGTGTGTGGGGAGTTCAGCAGTTTAGGACATTGCCAGCTCGAACGCTGACCATAGTCAAAAACTCTGGTTACTGTTGTTATTGCTGTTGTTGTTGTCCAATGGGGTGGTTAGGTTCGTTGTTGCCCGGGCAGCTGCTGACGTTGCATATTTATAGCATGGCAAAACTCAATTTTTGTTGAGCAAAAGAAATGCAGCAGCAGCTGTCAAAGAGGGTGGACTCAAATGTCCTGCATTCCCCGTGTAGCCCTGTAGCCCTGTATCCCCTATGACTTTGCCTATGGCTTTGCCTATGCTTTCCCTCTAACAGAGGCAGCTGCAATATGTTAACCATTGCATTGCATTTGCACACATGCATACACACGCATACACATGCACATGCAGACGCTGCGGTGAGTGCAGGCACTCATCAACTCACACACTGTCTCTCTCTCTCTCTCTCTCACTCACTCACTACTCGAGGCGAATTTGCCGTCGCAACGCACTCAGTGAACGTTTAATTGGCTGCGGCCGACAATCAACACGAATCGTTGACGCGTTCGCTTCGTTTCTTCTCACTGTGTTTGTGTGCGCGCGTGTGTGTGTGCTGCTGGCGTCGTTTCGCTTAACAGAGTTCTTTAGCAGTGCATTCACTCTCCGCTCGCTCAGTCGCTCATTCGCTCATTGAGTCGATTAGGCGCCTAATGAGCGAGCACTAACAGTTGCACTTAAGTGCTATCAACAAGTTTGAAGCGGCTCAGCGCTCAAAACTCAACAAGTTTGCAAATTAATTTTTATTTCGCCGCAAAGCGCCTAAAAGTGCTGATTATTTTTTATTATTATTTTTTTAATATTTCTTTTGCTTGAATTGCTTTACTCTGTTAATGTAATGTAATCGAATAATGCAGCATTATAGCAGTATAATTAAAATATATAAATTGTAAACTGCATTTAAAGCAGAAACTCTGATTTTATATAAATTCGTAGCTGTTTCGCTGAAATTGCATTCATGTTGCCAATCATCAGCCAATCATCAGCCATCAATGAGCGAATTTAATTAATTTTTTCTCATATTCCATTTTTTTAAATATATATTTTCTTTTTTTTCACACGCTTTCCAGATCGCCATCAGCAAAACCGCCAACGCCAACGTCATCGCCATTGTTGCTACTATCAGCAGCCAACGGTAAAAGTTCAAAGTGAATAACAACAACTACAAGAACAACAACAGCAACTTTTGCAGTAGAAGCAGCAACAACAAATTAAAATAAACTTTAAACCTGCCGCCATTGAAGCAGCAGCAACAGCAGAAGCAGCAGCAGCAGCTACCCATTACAACCCCCACCCCAGAAGCAGCTTTTTGGGGCGGGCGTTGTTTTGTAATTCTCATTCACTTGGCCACAATCGACGGCAACTGAACGTCGGCGTCAACGTCAGCGTCAGCGTCAACGTCAGCGCCTGCGTTAGCATCAACGTCATTGCTGAATTCGCTGCATCAGCAACAAAACCAGCTGGTAAGTTTTTGCGCCCCCCCTGCAAAAAACTTTAACAATACATTACTTGCAAACAATTTATATATATATATATATATATATATATATATATTTCTATCTATATATTATATGTATATATATATATGTACATATTTATTTATTTATTTATTTTTGGCAGCACTTTCCTTTTAATTGCGCCCCCCCCGAAAAACTTTGACTGTCAGTTCGCGAAACAGAAAAAAATAACAACTTGTAAATGTTGCTTTGTTCGTTTGGCGCACTTTGCGCGTAAATACCCTTTCCAAAGTGTTGATTAGTTGGTTGGCTCAGCTTGTTGCCTGCCCATATAGTAAATCGTTGCTTCTGATTGATATTGATTGACTAGGTCTTTATTAATATGACTTCCAATTGCATATTCTTTTTTTATTTTCAATAAAGTGTATTTTAAACAATTACTTCGAGCAGATTTGGTTAGTTGTGTTATTTGTGTGTGTGTGTGTGTGTGTGTCTTTTTTCTGTTTTAAGTTGCGAGTTCGTTTTTAGCGTGTTTTTTTTTTGTTTTTTGTTTTGTTCGATTTATTTTGTTCGTTTGTTATGCACTCTGTAAAGTTCTCCAATCAAATTGGAAATATCAGCCAATTGTCCATCACATCCTTTCACCCACACACACCTCCCCGCACAGTGTCCATTGTTTGTTGTTGCTTTGCTGTGTTTCCGCTGTTGGCCAAAAGATTTGCCCAATTTATTTTAATGCTCGTGTTTCTGCTCGTAAGTTTAAGTTTAAATTAATTCATGCCCCCAAGTATTTTTCATAGTTTTGTGCTGCACCCTCCACCCTTCAGCTTCCGGTTCCTGTATTTAATGTTAAAGTCTATGCGTCTGTAAAGTCTGAAAGAGAGAGAAAGAGAGAGTGAGAGGGCGAAATTAAATTAAAATGAAATAAATATATGCATTAATATGTCACACACACCACGACTGCAACTTAGTAACGAGGAAAAACGGAGGCGACAACGGAACTGTGCACAGACACCAGGACTCCGACAAGCCAGATATCTTTTCGGTGGCTATAATCATAATATTCACTAGTCTACTGAGAGGACATGGTAGACTAAGAAGTCAACCAACCTAACTAAGTTCTGTGAAAGCGAGAAAGAATCTTTAAGGCACATCCTAGTAGAGTGTGTCGCCTTCACTAAATGAAGATACAGCATCCTTGGGATGCATGCTATGAGCGAGGAGGAGCTGGGTTTGATGGTTGATGAGCTATAGGCTCAGTAGGAGGCACAACAGATCTAGTAAGTCACAGTGCAGGCATCCCAATTATAATAATAATAACAATAATAATAATAATAATAATAATAATAATAATAATAGTAATAATAATAACAAATGCATTAATATTGGCAACCATTTATTGAACACTTATTGTGTCAATGATGATTGACTGATTGAGTGGATATCAGCAACTAGAAGATGCTTGATTACCGTCTCTCAAAGTGTCAGCTCGAGCTTTTCTTAAATTCTGAACGAGATTCAAGTCTTTCTGTGCTTCATTAGAGCTCAGAGTATTCCCTTTTCCCATTTCCCTTTTCCCATTTCCCTTTTCCCATTTCCCATTTCGCTTTTCCCTTAGCACCTCGTTGCTGTTGTTGTTTATTGTTATTATTGTTATCGTATCGATTGCTTTGATCTTTTGCCAACGCGCGCTTGTCTCTGCTGCCATTCATATCACAGTTGGCATCGCACGTCGCAGCTGAATGAATGTCCGGTTCCGGTTTTGGTTTTGCTTATGCTTTTGGTTTGGGTTTGGGTTTTATTTTGCCCAATGACCTTGAGCCTGTTGCCTGTTGCCGCATACCCAATCCATGTTCCATGGGTTGCCAGTTGAAATTATTCGCACAGCAACAGACAACCAAATGTTTTATGGCTCCCCCCACACCCGACTGCACGAATGCACCCCACCCGCTACTCTGCCACCACTCTGCTTGGGGGGTTAAAGTTTGTCAAGGTCAAGCCCAAATTACGCTCATTTTCAGATTCATTTAAACACCAAAAATCGTTATCGATGTTGTTGTTATTGTTGTTGTGATTGTTGCTGCTCGGGTGCGTGGCATGCATTTAAAATATGTTCATTTCAAAATGTTTGCCCCTTTACACACTCACACACACACACACACACACACACACACACACACAGACACAAGTCGACCTTTTTCTAGGGCTTGTCAGCTTTGGGTTCGTTTTGGGCCAGCGAAACATTTTTGGCATTTTATTAGTAAATTTATTTTGCAGTCACTCACCAGCAGCAAGCCCTACCAATTGCACACCCACCACCCCGCACTCCTATTCTTTGGAACTACCCCTAGCCATAGGTCACCCCTTATTGTAGGCTTGCTTGTATAGCTTGCGAAAAACTATTTCCGGCATTAAATTGTCTCTCAGATCCCACGACATTAACCAATACAAGTAACCCTTCCCCCAACCCCACTCCACTCCACTCCACTCCACTTACAAGACAAGACTTTACACGCGCTGTTGTCCGCCTTTTTGGAACCATTTAAATACTCTTTGCATTTTCACACACACACATGATATACATACATATATATATATTATATATATATATATGCCAGGGCAGCTGCCTGTGTGTGTATGTGTGAGCGTGTGTGTGTGTGCTTATATCAATTGAATGCTCAGATTTCTGTAGCTGATTTTGTTTCAACTTCAAATTGAAATTTCAACAGTTTTTCGTGCGAAAGTTGCTCGTTGTGCTCTTTTCATCAGTTCGATTACCAAACGCACAAATACAAATACACATACCTACACCTACACACACACACACAGGCACACACACACACACAAAGTGCCAGCTTATTTGTTGTTGTGTGCTTTGTATACTCTATAAAAATAAAGGGATGGATTTATTGCCATGGAAGAGTTAATTCCATTGCATGTTGAGTTGTTGTTCTTGTTGCTGTTGTTTTTGCTCCTGTTGCACAACTCTCTTAGCACAGCAATAGTGTTATGTAATCTTATAAATACCCTACAATTTTATTCTGCTTGTACTTCGCTAAGTTACATGTATACAGATAAATTGATGTGATAATCAGCCGACTAAATGTTTCTGCATATGAATAGAACTTGTTGGCTGGTAAGGAAAACATTGTTTTACAGGGTATGTGGCTAGTCGGTTAGCCGCACAACAGATGGCGCTTTGTTATTTGTTTATTGCCGTTACTCGATTTTCGACCTTTTGGATATTTTCTTATCGCACAACCAAAATCGGAAACGAACCCTTTTGATAAAGTTCATGAAAAATGCGTCAAGCTATAGAAAAAGCATAATTTATTCTCGCTCCTCTCTCTCTCTCGCCCTGTCTCTCACTCTCTCTCTCGCTTGCTATATGTGTGTGTGTTTGTCTATATTGTGTATTGGTTAAATCGTGAAATTGTAATTGACTATTTTTATGGCCAGCTTGTCAGATAATTGCCTCTGGTTTTAGGTGCGTTTGCTTGAATTGCTTTCTCTGCTGCTCTTCTCTCTGCTGCTCTTCTCTCTGCTGCTCTTCTCTCTGCTGCTCTCCTGTTTTGTTCTTAATTTGCTTGCCACGCACGTGCCGAGCACATTGCTCATGGGATTTCCTAAAGAATAATGGTCTGCTGCTGCTGCTGCTGCTACTGCTACAAACTTTGCTTTTTCAGTTCAATTCAAATGCTTTGCTTTTTCTTAATTTATGAACCAACTAATTAATAATAATAATAATACTTTAGCTCAATGCTTATAAGAAATTAATCATAAATGTTGCACAGCAAAGTTTTTGGCTTAAGAACTCATGTTTGTGCAAAATATCGCATGATGTCATCATCTTTTCCGATAAATAATTGACTAGCAGTCTAGCAGCTTATAGAAATACTATCGATTACACTCGATTAGTTTGTCAATACAGCTCGAAAATGGCAAATATATTATGAATTACATATTCAATTATCGGAGACTAATCTAAACCTAAAACTCATCCAGATATCTTCTGTCTTTCTCTGCTGCTATTGTGAACTTTAAAACTTACCTAGTTTAGTTGCTATTAATCGTCCTGCAGCTTAAAATCCACATTGATGTTCATGCTGATGGATTTGTTTAAGGTGAACAAATGCGAGAGGCATTTGGCGATGGCTTCACCAGTTGCTGCTGCTAATTTTTCATCATCATCTTCACACTCTGCTTCCTCTCCTTCTTTCTGTCCATTAGCTGTCTCTCGCTTGCTACTCTTCTGCATTAGCTCTGCTTGTTCCTCCTTTTTGCTGTGCTTGGATTTCTTTTTCTTCTTCTTATCCGTTTTCTTCTCCTTCTCTTCCTCCTTCTCATTCTCTTTCTCCTTCTCCTTCTCTTCCTCCTTCTCATTCTCTTCCTCCATCTCCGGCTTGGATTTGGATTTCGTTTTCTTCTTCTTATCCGTTTTCTTCTCCTTCTCTTCCTCCTTCTCATTCTCCTTCTCCTTTTCTTCCTCCTTCTTCTCCATCACCATCTCCGGCTTGGATTTGGATTTCTTTTTCTTCTTTTTATCCATTTTATTCTCCTTCTCTTCCTCCTTCTCCTTCTCTTCCTCCTTCTCCTTCTCTTTTTCCTTCTCCATCTCCTCCATCTTCATCTCCGGCTTGGATTTGGAGTTGCGTTTAAATTTTTTCTCTTTGGATGCACAAATGATGGGCTCATCTTCGTTTAGTTGCAGTTGCTCATTGTTATCCAATTGCATTTGCAGATGCAAGCGCTGATCACGTTTATTTGCGCGCTCGCCAGCAACTTGGGCCAATTCTATGCCAGCCACTGACCAAATTGCCTCAGCTGCCTTTCGCTTCAAATTGGATTTTTCCATTTTGTTGTCGAACAGCGTATCTCTCGAGGTTGTGTCGTTGAGGCTAAACGTTCTAAACGGGACGGAACTGATTTCACGAACTGATACAAGTTAGCAGCGGAGAGAAAAAACACTGACAACTGACTACTTACAGTTGTCAACTGACAACTAACAGCTGACAACTCACAAGTGGCAGCTGACTAGTTGCAAATCGATTATCGGCTCTCGATTCCCAATTATCGATTATTGCTTTAACTGACTCGTGTGCAAACACTTCGCAAAAAAGGCGCCAAACTCTTATTTTAAAAATGTTTTCTTTGTTTTGGCATTAGCAAGTTGCGTGCTTAAGATCATTCCACATAATTCTTATAGCTAGATATTATTTTAAAAATATATTTCAATTGCTTAGATTAATTAAAGTTAAAAAAAACAGGATTGAAACAACAATTTCAGCGCATAAATTTAATTTAAAAAAAAAATGTGCGCTTCTTTTTATGATTTAGAGATCAAAAATGATTTCTACAACATTTTTCTGACTGTGCAGCTCTTTGCTGGCTGAATAATGACACCCTATGCCTCTCCCTCTCTCTCCCTCTCACTCTCTCTCTCTCTCTCAGTCTCTGTCTCGAAAAACATTTGTTTAATACTCGCCCAGTTGTTGTCATTGTTTGCATTAAACAGAATCGGCTAAAATCAAGCAAGCTATGAAAAATTATGCTTTAATCGTTTGTAACTTGTCAACGTGTCATCAACTTAAAAATGTACACATTGACTGGGGATGAGGATAAGCATTCATCAATTTAGATTCAATACGGGAGCTGCACGGTCCCAAATGGCATTTAATAATGTTTAAATATAAACTGACTTCGTATGCTGCTGGCGGACCTGTTGAAATAGGAATACAAATAAAAAACAACAAAATAGTTTCCCGGAGGAGCGATTTACTTTTTGAAAGTGACCCTGAAGTGAAAACCAATGGATTGGCGCAACTCAGTTAAGTAGCGAGTGGAATCAGCTCAAATTGAAATATGTGAATGCCTTAATGCGCATGGAGAGCATAAAATAAAATATAAAACATAAAAAAAAAAACAAAAAGGAAAACCCCATTTTCGAATCAGACAAATGGGCGAAATTTGGCGTATCCCTCAAAGAACTAAGTTGGAAATTAATATACCGACTACTTTTGCTCGAGGCGGTTTATCAAGTTCTGCAACAATTAAAACTTTCTGCTGCTCTGAGAACTGAGAACTGAGAACTGCAGCAGGGGGCCAGTGGAGGTCGTTTTTGTTTAACACTCAAGTTGAGCTTCAGTTTCGACAAAGGGGCATTCAACTGACGCGCAGCTCTCGAAGCAACTTACCTCAAAACAGCTCAACAGCAAAAAATTAACAAAAAAAAAAAAAAAAAACAAGAAGAAAAAGAAGAAAAGAGGCTATGCATACGCAAATATGTCTAGGGGGTATTTTATTATCGTATCTGAATACATCTGAGTACGTACTTATCACACTCACACATTCACGCACACACGCACACACGCACAATGGAAGCAGCAACACACACTGTCTGCAAGTTGTTTATTGAATTCTTGTTGATAAAAAATGCCGACGGCATTTGATTCTATTACTCTACCCTGTAACCATAAGATCGGCTAAGGCAGCTTATTTTTGTGCCAAATATATACAAATATATCTGGCAATCATTTTGATCCCAGCAAAAAATGTATTTATATTCCTTTAAATACGTTTGCATAAAAAGTTAGAAAAGGGCAGCAAACAGATTTAATTATTTTCAATATATATCATATTTATGCATGTACACAGACCTGATATTCAATGCATCAAAATTGATATCCATCTTGTATATAAATCGTTTAGCTATATGTCTTTCCCAGTTTGCTCAGAAACAGGTACAGGGAACATTCTTGATTTTCCTTTCGATTTGACATCGTTGCGGCTACAGAGTAACTGCTAGTCGATCACTCACGCATCGCCTCGCCACTCCTCTATTCATGTCTGTTTCATTGCTGGTTTAAGATGAAACATAGACACAGTCGCAACAGATACAGGCAAAGGTACAAAAGCCAATCCGGGAATCGGGTAGTGGGTAGTTCTGGGGTTCTGGGATTCTGGGGTTCTGGGATCTGTTTTTAAGCATAATACAATTATGGCCATGAGTGCGCTCAAATCCAGCTGAAACTCAAAATATAGCTGCAGCTGCAGCTGCTGAGCTGCTGAGCTGAGCCGGCAAACAAGTGTTAAAGCTGCTGTTTAAAACACCAACAATCCGCAAGACTTTTCATTTTTCACTTAAAATTATTAAATTCCAGCATGGCAAGGCACAGCAGTGGTTGGGGCAGGGCGGGGTGGCAGACTGACAAAGGCGGTGGCGTTTTTTTTTTTTTTGATGATGAGTGAAATGTGCGTAAAAACAAATATTATTTAAGAGCTGCGAAAAAGTGAAAATGAAATTTGACAGGAACCGACGCGAGGCACACGCTTCCTTGGGGGCCCTCGAACGTAATCGCGTCCCCAAACTTGACATGTGCCGGGCGGAGGCAGCACCAAAGTGGAGTACGAGTGGTGTGGAGTGGAGTGAAGTCACTCCACAGCACCAAGCAAAAGCACAGGCGTCGGAATCCAACTGGGAATCAGTGGCTGTCACCAGGTGGCATCATTTGTATTGCCCTTTGCCTTGCCCCGCGGCAACAGCCACCCCAGCAACTTGATGAGTTTTTCAAGGTGCCAGGGGAGCATGGAGCGTGGAGCAATGGAATTGGGCACACACCAAATGTATGAATATATCCAGCTAAAGTATTTAAGAATAAACACACACACACACACACGCGCACACACGCGCACACACACACACACACTAAAATGGTCAGCTTAATGCTCCAAATAATATTGATAATTTGACCAAGATGAATATGCTGATGGCAAATGGAAAACACATTTTTAATTTGAATTTGAAAACATTCCCAATTATAAATCACTCTATATTTATTCATAATCGTAAAGGAAATATTTTGAGAACAGGAATATCAAAAGAGATCAATATAAAAGTGTAATTTTGAAGTTGAGGAACGGAATAAAAATTCAACTATTTTGCTACAATTTTAACTTAAATCTATTATAATATAGTCTGAATACGCATTGAGTGTCGCTTTCTCTAGGGTATACGAGGCAAACATAACGAAAAATGGAAGTTGAGAGAGAAACAAACAACTTAATTTGCCCTACTTCAGCAATGGAGGACACTCCCCACGTGGAGTCAGTTCCAAGGCTAGGGTATAAAACAACACTTAGCATTTTTTCATTACGCTGCCTTCTTTTTGTGTGTATGTGTGTGTGGGGTGGGGAGGGGAGGGGTGTTACCCCTGGGGGGAAATGTTTGTTGAGTATGTGAGGTCCGTTGAGTGGCTGAGCTTGGAAATGTCACAAGTGATTCAAGGCGCGAGAACCAGAGGATTGAGCATTGTGGATTGTGGATTGTGGATTGAGAGACGGGACCCGATTAGTTGTGTGGCAGTTGTTGGCCGTTCATTGCCTCTCATGGGAAAACAACAACAACAACAACAACAATAATAATAATAAGTCGCCTCCCCTCCAAGGAATTAAAAAAAAGCACAAAAAACACAAAAACAAATAAACAAAGAAAATGACAATTTGGCGAATTGGAATGCTTTGGTTTTGTTTGCAGGACAATGTGAAAGTGGGTCAAATGGGGTGATGGGTGGGGCGGGCAGTTGTGTTAATCGTATAGTGACCATATCTGCAAATGTCGCCAATGCCATCTGACAACTGTCAACGGGGGCAGCAGCGAGGAGTGAGCAGCTTAGAGCTACAAGCTTAAAGCCCCCGGCCTAATGCTCTAACCTGGCTTTGCGTGTGCCCCTCTTTGCGATTCTCAAGCTCCCAGCCTCGAAAGCAACTTATAAACAAAATTTATCACTGTCACTTTTTCTTCCGCTCTTTTTGTTTTTCTGTTGTTTTTTTTTGTTTTTCTGTTGTTTTTTTTTTGTGCAAAATAAATAAGCAAACGACAGGCGACAAAAGCGACAGCTGTTTTCAAGTGGATTAGAGAGCAGCAGGCAGCGGAGAGGATGGAAAAGTGGGAGGTGGGGTTAATTGGCAGGTGCAGGTTTAGGTGTTAGCAGGTAGATTTTGAGCTCTTAACTAATTAGCGAGCATTTGCTTTTCATTTATCAGTGAGCATTAGGTCTTAGAATCCTCTCTGTCCTCCTCCTGTCCTGCGGTCATTTAACAAAATGCGACCAGCACTCTAAAATAATTCCTCGCTCACGTTGACAAAACAAAACCAATAAAAAAAATCGAACAAAAAATGTGGAATGTCAGTTGTGTGTTTATTAAATACTCCCTTGGATACCCTGTGTATAAATAAACATATATTGAACGAAACAAGCCCAAAAATATACAACAAATACAAAAGAAACAAAATCGATGAACAGCTGATGTCAAATACTTTGGCTGACAGCGAATCATCGATGAATGAATGTTGGCAATATATATATATCTATATATATATGTACATGTGGATATGGGGTATATACCAAACGAACCTGTACCTTGTGGCACGCAAAAATATTGCATTCCTGCCACGGGGGGTAACATGAACAACAACAGCAACAACAAGAACACTATTCAGATTCAATACTGTCAGTTGGACAACAGCACTGGCAAGCAGCGTCTAACACAATCAAACTGCATTGAATCAAAATACACACACAGAACTACACACATGCCTGGGGTGTCTGGGGAGCTTTGGCAGTGAGTGTATTTATTGGATATGGCCAACAATCGATAAACGGATCGAAATGCAGTCAGCAATAGTCATTGAATAGTTGATGTACTCCAAAATCAGCAAGTCATTTCAATATAGAAACAATTTTTCGAAAAGAGCGAGAGAGAGAGAGAGAGAGAGAGAGAGAGAGAGAGAGAGAGATTGTTAACTTATGATATATGATCCGATCTATAGAGTTTGAGCGATATGAAAAGAAGTAAGAGTGCTTTAGCTGTTGATCTTGTCTAAGAATATTATTTACGTTATGGGAACGGAGATGCTGCCTTCTGCCTGTGTTGCATAAGTTAGCACAAACCGATTATTTTATTCGATCTTACCCAT